AACTAACTAAACTAACTAAGCTACTAACTAACAACTACTAACTAACTAACTAACTAACTAACTACTAACTAACTAACTAACTAACTAACTAACTAACTAACTAACTAACGAACTAACTAACTAACTAAACTTCATGTTTCTCAGTGCTAAATAAAAATATTTACAAAAACAAAATACATTATTTTCTAATTTTATCCCATTTTTGTAAAATTTAAGTTCGATCTAATATACCAAAAAGAAAAGTAAATGATAATAATTAGATAGAATAAAAATGTATAAAAAGGACACTAACAAGATTATTTAAGACAGAATTATTTTTGCTCTCAAAATTTAAAAGAAAAAGTGTTTGTATATTTCAGTAAATATATTAAGTTTATAGTGATCAGTTGTGTGAATAGTAACTAGGGATGCCAAACGGGAATTCCCGATTCCCGAAAATCCCGGGATTTTCGGGATTTGAAAGTACCGAAAACCGGGATTTTAAAAAATGAAATACCGGGAAATTTGGGGATTTTAAAATCCCGAATTTTTAAGTGTTTTTCCGCTATTTTATACATTATAAACTATTAAATAAGAGAATTTTAAAAGTTTTTGGACTTAAGATGACTATACTAACTTACAAGCTGAAATATCAAAAATAAAAAGGGCAACAAATAGGCATAGATACTATCGGATATATAAAAATAACAAGTAAGAAATTATTGGCGGGCGAGGACGACCATATAACCCCCTGCACCAGTTATGAGAGTAAAATGTGATTTAGTTTTCATAATAAATCATTTAAGTTGATTTATACCTCGCCTCCGATATATTTTAGCAATTTATTGTTAAAAAACTATTTTCTGAAATATGCTTGGGGGAAGCCTTCACATGAGTCGATCCTCATAAAATTTGGAGGACGAATTTACGGTTACATAAAATTTATTTATGCTGAATTTCATTACGGCACTTCTCTTTTTAAGCGAAATGTGGACACTAGGCTAGGATGAGAAGAAGCCCGATAATTTCAAAATTCATCAGGGTATTTAAGGACAGTATAAAACAAAAGCAATACTCCGAAGATGCCCAATATACCTTCCCCACTAAGGTGGTATAGGGTATAAAAAGGGCAATAATCGGATATCTAATGGGTGTATTAGAATCTATAATGGAAGTCAACCTGTCAATAAGATGGCGAGATGATAATTCCCTTATTTGGGTTAGAGAACACGGCAAAAGCTGGAATTACTATGGAATTACTATTTCTCTACTGACCATTAAAAACCATATATCCTATATTCATCTCAAAACGAATGGTCTCATGAGTACATAGGTGCAGTACAGGAGCTCTATGTAGCCTCGTATGGATCCTCATTACGCATACTATCTAAATATTAGATTTCATCAAATTGTAAATTTGGAAACCATTGTAAATTTGGATATCATGGGTATTATTTTATATTTATAAGATATAAGAAGCTTTTGCTCAAAAGTAGGTTTTTATTCTACTATTCAGTACCTGGGATGGAAAGATTTTTATTATAAGTACTTTGAATTAATTTGTTTTTCTTTTCACAAAATGCTTATTGGAAAGTAAACACCTACTAAGTGTATTCATATTGTAATATGAAATAGAAAATGTTATTTTTGTCGGTAAATTATTAAGATTTTTTTAATTTTTTTTTATATTTTTCGGGATTTTGAAATCCCGAAAATCCCGGGATCCCGATATCGGGATTCCGGGATTTATTTAAAAATCCCGAATCCCGGGATTTCTAAATATCAGTCCCGATTGGCATCCCTAATAGTAACACACTGTGAAATTTTGTAATGATTTTATTTAAAATTTAATATATAAAAAATAAATTTAATATATAATAAACATAAGTGAGAGATTAGTGAGTATAAACAATTTTAAATTATTCATAAAGAGAAATAAAGAAAATGTATTATAAAGTCGCTTTTACTACATAAAATAGTGTAAAATTAGATAAATTTCCAGTTTCCCTATTGCTATGGCAAAACTGGAAATTTTACTAGTTTTACGCACTTTTATGCTATAAAAAAGTGACTTAAAACTGAAACGAAATCGACTCACTAAGTAAGTATTAAACAGGAGGAACAGTTTCTTACCAACGCGGTCACTTTTCTTCCTTTCAAATTGTGCAATATTAGCTGTTATTTAGATATTTTTACCTACACGTTGTTACGTTATTGGTACTATTTAGATAGCAATTGTTTGCAGGGGTTATTTTCAAATAATCTGTTCAACTGTGTTGCATGTATAAATGTAAAATAGAGTTAAACGTTACGGATAAATGTTTACCTACGAGTTTGACACCTTTTAACATTAATCTATATTTAAAAATAAATATTAATTTTTCCACAAATTGTAATTGTCTAACAGTAAGTATGTATTTGATATAATATTCTACAAGTCACTCACTGACGTAGCGCTTAAAGTTTTTTCTATTGCATTAAAAAAACTGGGGAATAATTTATTGTGGCACCTTTTAATTACATTCGATATCAATCGATTATTGAGTAATTTATGACTTAATACAACTATAGCATTAAATATTTTCTTGAAAATTAAACAAAAACTACGAAATAACTGAAGGCAAATAAATTCGTATAGAATTCATGTTTTAAGGAAACATTACGTATTTATTAATGAGAATATTAAAACGTCATTTAATTTGTTTTTTTTTTCGAGGCTTTTTTTAATGCGATTTGTATGCAAATTTTCTAAGTAATCTTCAAATAAGTAATAATAGTTTTTTCGTGTGCAAGCATATCTATTGTGTGGGTTTTTTTTCGAACTTAAAAGTAATTAAAAATTTTTAATATTTACAATTTATTAAGTTACACGAAAATCGTGTATTGGAATAAATTAGTTTAACTGATCTTTAACTTTTCAATAAAAATTATTTAAATTGCTGGTTAGAACTTTTAAGAAAAAAAAAATGAAATTTAAATATGAAATACTTTTATTCAAGATTTTACTATTAAAATGCAAAACGGTAGAACTAATCAGTCAATTTGTCAGTAAATCTTACCTAGTTCTACAATTGTCACACTTTATATAAATTTATACCAACATTATTATTATTCTCCCTACTTTTTTCAAATAATTTTAATTGAAAAAGTTATCTTACTTTCACAGTTTAGTATTTGTGTATTTCTTTTGTCACTCAGTATGGTTCATGCTAATTTCCATAATGAAATGCTAATTTAAACAAATATTAATTTGCAAAAGAAAAAAAAAAAAATAAAAAACACCTGGTCACTCAATTATAAGCGTGTGTTTTCCTTCTTCCACACGAATTTGTATTTTTCCAAAAGGTGCAAAATTAATTTTACAAAAATCGTAGCAATTTCACTGAACATTTGTTTTATTTTATGGGAAATTTTCTTGTTTTTTGTTCGATTTTACAATATAAACAAACCAAATTTAAAACAATAAAGAAATTATACTCGGACATGGCCGATCATGAGATGCCCTACAACAACAATATGATCAATAATGGACTAAAAGAGTACAACGATCAACATTTTTAAAGGTACGTTCACACCTATCAAATATTTTTCGAAAAAGACGTAACCAATATTTTTTGTAAATATTTGATTGATCTTACAAGACCTTTGTATGTATATCGAATTAAGTAATAAAGACGATCAAATCTGATAAGTCCTAAGACACATTATAAATTAATTTCGAATGTAACAGATTACTAGTTAGAATTAGAGCAAATTTTCGTTCTTTTAAAGATTGTCCATAAATGGATATAAACAATTTTCTGATTAATGCTCTAATTTAATAACATCCGGTAAATTTATCTGAATTGCGGAAATTGGTATGGGGCTTTTATCACCGGTTCATCCATATTTCAATACTTAGTGAAGTTTGATTTATGGACAATTTCGACATGTTATTATTGTTCTCGCAATGAAAAAATCAAGTTTAACCTAATTTTATATATGAACCGACAGGTTCAATAAAATCGTTGAAAATAATTTTTAACATTGCAAACATCATCATAGATGTACAGTATTCCCCTTACCTATTGTTTTAGTGTAGGGTGTACAAAAATTGTTTAGATTAAAATCCAAATAAATATTTGCAAATTGTTCGCATCACTATAAGCAAGTAATTATTCAAATTCATATTGATATTGAAATTGATAAATATAGAATCGTTTCAAATATGTTTTAATTTTGCACCGACATTTAATTTTCAATAAACAACAGTGTGAAAAAGCAAATTAAAAGTGATGAATACGTGATACAAACGTACAGCAGAAGTGTGCATACCGCAACTGACTGATGGAGTACGTGCGATAAAGAGCTGTTAATGAATGTATTCTTTGTTAAAGAAATGTGTTTTATCTGATTGCTTTAATAAATCTTTTCATTTCTGGTAAAAAATTGTTCAGTGTTTGGACTTTTACCGGAAAAAATTACAGTTTGAGAGAGCCAACATAAGTAAGAGGTATGATGTATATTGATATCTCCATTTTCTAAAAATTTCGAAATTGATTTGTCTAGAAATTTCAATTAACATTTTTTATATTTCATCTAATTCTTTGTTCAAAGTTAATAAGAAAACATATGTATAAATTAGTTTATTTAAAAAATTACAAAAGCGTAGATTGCTACCTTTGTTTCTATACCTTTGCTATACTTGCTTGTTGAACATAATTGTTTTCTTTACATTCTTTAATATCTCTGTTGGTTATGGAAATATGTATGTTTTAAATTGTTAATGATTTTTTTGTTTATATGAATTATCGTACAAATTTAAGACATTTTGTTTTCGCTTTTAAAATAATGTTTAAATTATTTCTATTGCATAGTTATTTGAATTTAATTTATTGAACCAAATGCATCAAATTCATTGACACTTAGTTCATTTTTGCATACGAGTATTTTTTGCAATATTCCATATTCTTTTGTTTAGATTTTGTTTATGTTGATTTTAATGGAAATCAGACAATGAAATGGAAAGGTAAAAAACTCACCTTAAAGAAAAATGCTTTCAACATTTCAACAACTTTTTCTGAATCTTCGGGTTTAACACATTCCACTGTGTAAGGTAAATCATCAGATTTAGGTACTTGTGTGGTGGTGGTGGCCGTGGAGGAAACATTTAAAACACTGTCCATTTTTTGGGTAAGTCTCGCAATTGGATATAAATCCGAAAGCTGAAAAAGAAGAAAATGAAATATATGAATGTTTAGCTTTTGATTTTGAAATTTTTATAAAAGTTACTGAAAGAATTGAGGAAAACGTGAACATTCTATATTCTAGTCTATAATCTGGTCTGGTCTAGTCTATATTGTAGTCTATATTATAGTCTATAGTCTAGTCTATATTATAGTCTATATTATAGTCTATAGTCTAGTCTATAGTCTAGTCTATAGTCTAGTCTATAGTCTAGTCTATAGTCTAGTCTATAGTCTAGTCTATAGTCTAGTCTATAGTCTAGTCTAAAGTCTAGTCTATAGTCTGGTCTATAGTCTAGTCTATAGTCTAGTTTATAGTCTAGTCTATAGTCTAGTCTATAGTCTAGTCTATAGTCTAGTCTATAGTCTAGTCTATAGTCTAGTCTATAGTCTAGTCTATAGTCTAGTCTAGTCTATAGTCTAGTCTATAGTCTAGTCTAGTCTATAGTCTAGTCTATAGTCTAGTCTATAGTCTAGTCTATAGTCTAGTCTATAGTCTAGTCTATAGTCTAGTCTATAGTCTAGTCTATATATAATTTAATAAAATTCTCAATTCCTAGTCGGTTTAAAACGTCAAACTTGTACACAATGAAATAGTACAAAAATATGTATTCCAATTTATAACAGAGCATAATAAATACCATCCTAATGTTTACATACATGTCAATGTGAAAACTTTTTTCAATTTATTAGTAAATATTATTTGTTTTGACTTTTCTTTATTTTTTCCGGAAATTGTATTTATGTTTGTTGTGTTCTAAGAACATGAATATACACATTTTTCTGTAATTTTATTTATACTATAGACGATTACTACAAACTCACAAAGATTCCAAATCGAAAAAACATATTTTTCTTTGGGAAAATGTTATTTTGATTAAGTGACTTTTTATTAAATTGGCCTCTATTTCTGGTTAATACTTAATTTTCAGTTGAAACATTTAATATGTATATGTTTAAAATTAAATTGTTTTTCCGCAAATATCTTTTGTATTGTAAAGTTCAGAGACCCTTAAAAATGCTTTAAAATTTCAAAATAGAATGTAGATTATATCACAGGACATATTTGAAATGTATTCGTTTGATATTTGCATAAAAAGTATTTATATACACATTATATGTATAATTTAAAAGTAACTTCAAATAAATTAAGATTATCTGTTGCATTTTATGAACTAACCCAGGAAGTAATAGTAAAACAATTGTATAACGTCTACATACTAATTGCATTTAATATAATTCTTCAAACATTTTAACTGCATATATTGTCACATTCTAAAATCTAATAAAATTGAAATTGTAAATTTAATTTCAATTTTATTATCATTTTGAAATATGTACATAAAGCAAATCAGATGTATTATATTTTAAACAAAGTAATTGTAATTTGTATTCAACTGCAAAAAATATTGTTTGTTACTTAAAAAACAATAAGTATCTGGTTTTTGACGAACACGTTTGTATATTGTTTTTGTCAAAATTTTAATTACGGGTCTTTAACTTTTTGAGTTATTGGCAATTTAGGGAACAAAAAATAAAATCGAACATTTAGAAAAATGTGACTAATGCATCGTTATCGTATTTGCATGATTTACAGGTTTTAGTCGGAATTTGTAATAAACAAATTTTGAATACGGGAATGTTATCTTCTAAACTATGAGTAATAGGTTCAAATCTGACTAATAGAGAATAAAATATATATAATTTGGAAAAGTGAATTACATGTAATTAAGAAAATTGTGAAATCTTCGTTATTTTCTTATATATGGAATCAAAGGAATAAAATAATTGTAAAATAAATTAGGAATATATTTAGGATGTTATAAATAGGGTTCTTTAAATTTCGAGTTTTCTTTCGAGTAATCCAATTTTTGTCGAAAAAGTTGAATATTTTGTTCAGAAAAGTCGGTAAATCTAAAATAAGTTCAAAAGTATTCTTATTTCTCGAAATATATATAGCGTTATTTAAAGATAGTTTTTTGGGGTTTTTTAAAATTTGCAATTGTTTGCAAGGATTTAAGGGGTTAATTATGATTATTTTTCACATATTTTTTACTATAAATTTTTGTCATTTTTTATTAAATAAGGGGAATAAATAACTCATATTTTGATATGGTTTAAAGATAACACCCAAATATTGCAAAATTTGACATTTAAGCTCCACAGTTTATGGGTTAAGATTGACTGAAATTATTAAAACTTCGGGGATATAAATTATATTATCTGAATTACATTATTGCGAAAATATATTATGACATATTCTCTAAAATATTACAAGAACTGAATAGACGCAATGGGGTTTCCTCCTAGGATTTTTTCTCAGAGACAAAACTACTTACTTAATGAATTAAAATGCTATTGTGTAAGTAAATTTTAGCATTTTAGTCTCTTACTTTTCAAAGTAAGATTTTGCTATGTAATTTTTTTTGTCATATAAACCGCGTTATATGAGGGCAGTTTGTACCTTAATTTAGAAAGTTTTTTTTCCTTCCTCAATAAATTATTCTAAAACATATGACTTTTTCTTTTAATTTTTAATGTGTTGTTTATGAACAAAACATAATTCATTAATAATTTTGAACGAAAATAGCACATGTTTAAAAATTAAACATTTCTAAAAACACGACAATTTTCTAAGAAAAAACCTAATAAAATTTATTTTATATCACAAGAAACCAAAGAAAAAAACCACAGACACTTTTTAATGTGGGACATTATCCACTTACCGTATATCTCTTTTCGATCATAATCGCATCATTATCAGCAAATGTGCGATTATTTTTTAGCATTTGTGGAAGATTTTCAATTTCCATGATGAAGCTGGCGGTGTGTTGTCTTATTAATGAAGGAAAACTGGCAAACAATTTTTCACGGTAATAAATTTGTATTAAAAATTTAATTAGAGCACTTAGTTTGGTTTAAAATACACCAACCAGATGAGAAAATTTTTAACAAAATAATAATAAAAAACGATCAGAAAGTGTGGTAATGGCAAAATATCAACAATGATTTTGCCAGACGTATTTAAACGATACAGATTTAGATTTGTTCAGTTTGTTTATCTTTTTGACTTTTTTGTTATTTATTTAAGAGTTTTTTTTTTCCTTTTCTTGATTTTTGTTTATTTCTTATTTATTTAGTCTTTGTTGTTCTTTGTAACAAAATCGAATGGAAGAAAATAATTCATTCACTGAGCGATGATTTTTTTTCAAAAAAAAAGTGACGAGCATCCACAATGCATGAAAGATAAATGAACTAATTAACAAATTTTTGTTTATATTTAAAATGTTTAAACACTTTTTTATTCCGCTAATTTCACAGCTACTTGTCAATTTCTTAAGTTTACTACTATTTTTAAAATTTAGTTATTTTTTAAATTGCATTTAAACTGTTATATTTTTCAAATCCTTAATGCAGTTGACAGGATTTATCCTTGAAAGAATATTGATAGAATGTATTGTTTTGTAACACAACGTTTGATACACTTGGTGAATGAGTGAATGATTGTCAACATTATATAGTGTCACGTTTTATACGACTATACTTTTTTTAGAGTAATGCTTTTTTTATTTCATTGCTTTTTTTTTTTTTTTGCTTAAAATATTCTCATACAATCAGATTTTTTAAGTAAAAAAATATTGTATTGTTTTTGTATTTAGCCAATACATTGTATTTATTTTTTTGCTGTTTATTTATATTTTTTGTTTTTGTATCTTATAGATGTATATATTTTTGTATGGTTTCCGGCGAGTTTTGTATTTGCAACTAAAAAGATACTTTTAGCAAGAACGTTGTTGTCTGTGTACGAACGCGAGTGAGTCTTAACTAACTGGTCACGATTGCTTTTCACTCTGTGTAGAAATGTGACGGAACAAAAATACAGGCCGGCATTAAAACAAACAAAAAAAGTTCATTATTAAGAAAAAAGAGCATGCGCTGAAGGAGAATTTTTATTATAAACGGGAAAATTTGTTTTTGTTTGAAAACTTGGTTGTTGCTGACATAAAAAATCATACCAAACTCACTCCAAACATTTAAAAAAAAATATATTCCACACGAGCGTGAGAGATGTTTGCATAGAGATTCTGCGCCATCGATTTGTTTGTATCAGGTATGGAACCGTTGATTTTATTGTAATTTTTTTTGGTAGTGGCTGAAGTTAAATTCCCAAAAATTACATTCATCCCGATATAAGGCAATTTGGTGCAGTTAAAAAAGTAAATTTCACGTGCTGCAATTTTGCTTATTGGAGCAAATTATTTATAAAAAGTGTGTTTCGTCAAGGATTGTTTGAAAAAATAGGTTTCAATTGAAATTCTGGAGTTTTTCCACATTTTAAAATCCCAGGGGCAGATAAGTATGTATGTATATATGTATATTGTTAAAGCCCCCTTTACACGAGCACACAAGTACTATGATCTGTCAAAATTTTGTGTAAAAGAGCACGGATGGGACCGTCTAAACGCAATATGTAATGAAACCATCACACATTGAGAGAAAATACGGATGGAAAATTTGAGTCGTACAGCAAGCAAGTCGCATTAGATCAGTCATGTAAACGGATGGAATTTCATTTTATTTTTTCATTAGACTTTACGTACGTAAAGTGTGTTCGTCTGCAGGGCCCTTAACTAACACATCTCACTCTGTATAGAAAGCCAACTAGTGCTTTTTTCCCCTACCATAATATACATATGTACCTTGCTTTGTTTTGTGATGATTCCCAATAATCTATTTCGACATAGCACGTTTTCGACGTTTTGGTATTTTATATTCTACTTTCATTAGCTTAAATACTACCGATATGTGATTGAAATATCCCGATCCGTTCAAATGTTAAATGGTAGATGAATGATAAAAACAATATTTTATGAAGATACACACATACAGATAAAAAATTAAATTTTAAGAACTTTTTCTGAAAAAATTTAGCTTCCTGACCTTGCAAGTATAGTTTCGAATCGTCGACATATCATTTTATATATTTTAAAATAGAAAATTTATTGAAAACATTTTATTTAGTTTTCTCTGTTTAATTTAAAATTTGATAGAGCGATTTTGAATCGCATGAAACTTATATGTGTCGAATTTTATTGCTATATACGTATTTTTAAGCCAGTTAGAGTAATTTTTTGAAGCGGACCTTTTATAGGGGGTAGGGTCAATTATGGACCGATTGACATAAAATTTAGTAGACAGGTTTTGGCTCGTAACAGACTTACTTATGTCAAATTGCAATACTCGTATTTTTAAGCCAGTAATGTGGTTTAAACTTTAAGTCAATTATTGACCGATCCATATCAAATTTACTAGAAAGATTTTGACTCGCATGAAACTTACGTGCGTCGAATTTCATCGCTATACTCTTATTCATAAGTCAGTAACGCTCATTACATTTTCTAAATCATTATTTCACCACACTCGCTTATAAATATGGAGCTAGGTATGTACTTACTACGATCGCCTACAAATAATTAGTTTTGGTTTTGAGAAACAAAAATAGCCTAGGATTCTTCCTATGCGTCTACTATTAGTTTTCACAAAAAAAAATTCTTATATATTATGTAAATATTTTATTTGTAAGTCATTACTATACTCCTTCTAAGTATTGTAAATGGTAAGTGGTAGTCATTGAAAAGTAAGTTGTTGAGTAAGTACATTACCATGTTTATGCTGGAAAATTTTTAATATTGTTTGTACAATTTATAATTTTCAATTTTGCATCTCTGGTTTAAAGTCGTGTTACAACCAGAATTAAACCAATAAAAACTATAATATTGATTACGAGTAGCCTTTACTTAATCTCAACAACTATTGTTATTATTATCAATCTAGAGTTGTTCTCGCTCTTGAAATTATTATACTATAGTATATGTGAATGTAAGTAAGTTATTTATCTTATATGTAATTAATCGATCTGGGTGTTCTGTTTATTCACAGATCCAATCTTTTGTTTATATTAAAAATTTTCCTTAATGTTTATTTGTCAATAACTCGATTACTATTTGTATATGATTTTTAATTGTCATTCATATTCAATCAATATTATTAAAATCCTAAATATATTTATAAAAGGAAGTCAATCAGTTGATTAATCATACACCTAATACTCTTTTAACAAGATTAACTCCATTTTTATACTCTACACCTCTTTAGTGGGGAGGGTATATTTGGTTTGTGCTGATGTTAGTAACGCACAATAATATTGGTCCTGTACCCACCTTAAAGTACACCAATTGGCTTAGAATCATTTTCTGAGTCGATTTAGATATGTCTGTCCGCCTGTCCGTCCATGTAAACCTTGTACTCAGACTACAGGACGTAATTTTGATGATAATTCAATGGAATTTGGTACATGATCTTCTTTATCCTAGGGAGGAAGTCTATTGAAAATGGTTAAGAGCGGTCTATCATTTTACCTAGCCCCCATACAACTGAACCCCCGAATAGGGCTTGTAAACTTTGTAATGAAATTACAGCTCGCAATTTTGAAGATAATTCAATGAAGTTTGGCACATGATCTTCTATTATACCAGAGACGAAGTCTATGGTAAACATCGGTTCATAATGGTAAACATTTGTCCATTATTTCACCTAGCCCCCATCATCTGAACCCGCCGAATAGGGCTTTTAAGTTCAAAATTATGTTTAATATACTCGTATCTCGACAAAAAGCTACAATACCAAGTTCTATACTAGCCTTGATAACACTCATGAATTTAAAAATTATAGGGCCTCATTAAATGTCCACATCTGAAGCAATGTACAATTCCACTTAAATGCTTTATTATGAGAACTAAATAACATTTTATTTTTATATGGTCGGCCTCGCCCGACTATAATTTCTTACTTGTTCCTTAATAAAATAGATTTTGCTGTAGTAAATAATTCTAGGTTGGAACTTTTATATGAAATATTTACTAAAATTTGGTTCATATTTACAAAGTTCAAGTTTATGGCTTATGTGTCTAGTTTGAAAGTTATCATTGTTGTTATTATACAGCTTTAATATCGTAACTTTGTATAAGATATTGATGTCGATTGATATCTCAGGAATTTAAGTTTCTTTCAGCAAATTAATCATAATTTCTAAATATGTTTATATCAATAATATTTAGTTATTTAATTTTAATTGACAGTCTAATAGACATAACATACTTATGCAAAAACTTACATTGAAAAGTAAGGCATTTAAGCAATTATTTTAACACGGGGGTGACATTGGAGGCAAATACTTACAACGCTCGCTTACAAATACGGAGTTAGGTAAGTAGTTTCTACGATCGCCTGCAATTAGGGAGTTAAGTTCTGAGAAGAAAATGCCAAAAAGTGCATGTATTACTAGTTTCACACAAAAAAAATAGTTTTCCTTTGTTTAAATAAAGTTCGAAAACATTTGTCAAGGCTAAAAAGTAAGCACTTACATAATATATTATTTGTAAGTCATTACAAGACCCCTTCTATGTAATGCAGATAGTATGTAGTTGAATAGTAAATTGTTAAGTAAGTTATATGTTTTTGCTGGGTGTATACTCATGATCAAGTGATTGACAAAAATAAATAAAATAAAACAATACAATTTATTTCGCCTGGTTATTTACCAGGTTTGTCTTTAATATTTAGATGTAAATTTAACCTATTACCCGCTCATTAATTAACACCAAAATTAACAAAAGGAATAAAGTTAGATAGCGGGTCGGTAGGGCATGGCCGATCATATGATACCATACGCCTTACCTTAATGAGACCAATTATGAGTCTCATACGGAATTTAGTATGATAATTTCCACATTTTTGAAACCGACGGATTTCAACTAATTTTGTCCTTGCCGCTAAGTTATCATAGTTTCAAAATTTTAGATTATTACTTATGGGTGTTACAAACATTAGCACAAACTCAATACAGACTGCACATAGTAGGAAAGGGTATGAAAACAAAAAAAGTAAGAAAATAAATTATCGGTTTTGTTTGTTTTTCTTAAAAAACTAATAAAATATTATTTGTTTTTGTTGTTAGTACCTGTACAATTGCTAATTTTATGCTTGAAAATATTTTTTTCTTTTCGATTTTGACTATTCATACTCTTTCTCATAATGTATCAATAGTTCAAATGAATTTGATGTACACGCTGGCGATAAAAGTCAATCATTCATTTATTTAGTCATTCACTCACCGACTCGCTTTAGCAGACTGTCCACCCGCCGGTTGTGGTGTCAACGAGTCAGTGGACATTTAAATCACTTTTTCAATGAATGAATAAATGACAAATTGTACTCGTATATCAGATGTTCAATTCAGTCTGATCACTGGCAGTAATTTTGGCGCCAAATAATTATTTATTTTCTTTTAGTAGTTTACATTTTTTCTTTATGATTTTTTTTTTTGTTTTTCTAACAACAGCATCAGCGTAATAATAAAATGAAAAGTGTGAGAAATAAATTAAATAAACATTATTTACTTAATTAAAGGTACACACTCATACAATATGTACGTACGTTGATGATGCTGATAATGATGATAATAATGACGTTGATTTGATTTTATTTTGCAAATACAAAATTTAATAAAAACGAAAACAAAAAATAAATGATTGATGGATGGATAAAAGGCCGACCGAAACAGTTGGACATGTGTTGAAGTTAGCACGCGACATTAAATATTCAAATGAAACAAATAAGTGACATTCTTATTAATTATATTAGATAATTGTGTAAATATTAATTAATTTGTAATTGCATAAAATAGAATTTAGTTAGGTACTTATATGTAATTATATTGTTAAATCATTATTATTCAGTTTAGTATTACTTCAATGGAAAAATTTGTTAACGTAATTCTAAGAGCGCTTTATAATATAAAAATCTGACTTAATTCTGTGTTA